CCCGATGCGGGACTCGATCCAGGGACTCCAGGATCATGACCTGAGCCGAAGGCAGTCGCTTAACCAACTGAGCCACCCAGGCGCCCTCTAATTTAATTTTTAAAATTACATTTGTTGACTCAAAAGGGATGTAACGTTCTTCCAAAAGTTATCCCAGTCTCTTAATATTTACATTGTTTATTTCTCTATATATTTAACTTTTTTTTTAGGCTAAATCAGGAGCTTTTATATTCATCCTTAATTATTACACATTTTGTGCAATAATAATCGTTTATATGGTGATTGATAATATTTCAACTTATATACTTACAAAACATCTATTTGCACTGTAATTACATTTAGAATGCTTTCCTATTTGGGGAAAAATACTAAGTATTAGTAGTAAATACAAGTGACATGCCTTGTTTGTAAATCTGATGTTGTTATTCTTGTTGGATATGTGGTAACCTACATGATCACTGATCATGACAAGTTCAGAAATGCCAGAAATGACATCAAAGTAGGCACTGGCTGTTAGGCTGAGGCCAAAGCCAGATCATACATTTGACTAAATACTGGAGCAAAAGCCTCCCCTTTGCATTTCCAGTTAGGGATGGAATTTGGGCTGAATTGAGCTTACTGGATAGAAGCATGTTAGGAAAGTATTGCTGTGGTAGAAGTATATTTCTGGTCTTTATGGAGAGGGAGATGGTTAAGAAAGTTGCAGTGTACATATGGGTTGATGTTGAGTAAATGGTAAATAATAATGGCCTGTGATGGTGACCTCATCTTTTTTGAGAAATTGCCTTTTTAATTATTCTTACATAGATTTGATGGAAACCATATTTAAACTTCTGGAGTATATACATGGAACAGAGGATAGTATACAGCAGAGGTCAGCAAACTTTTCTGTAAAGGCAGTAAAATATTTTATACTTTGTGAGACATTTATGGTCTCTGTCACTACTACTCTGCTGCTGTATAGACAAAGCAGCCATAGATAATATATAAATGAATGGGTGTGGCTGTGTCCGAATAAAACTTTATTTATAAAAAAAGGTTGTAGGGCGCCTGGGTGGCTCAGTCGTTAAGCGTCTGCCTTCGGCTGAGGTCATGATCCCAGGGTCTTGGGATCAAGCCCCGCATCGGGCTCCCTGCTCCGCGGGAAGTCTGCTTCTCCCTCTCCCACTCCCCCTGCTTGTGTTCCCTCTTTCACTGTGTCTCTCTGTCAAATAAATAAATAAAATCTTTAAAAAAAAAAAAGCAGGTTGTGGGCTGGATTTGTCTATGTACTGTAGTTTATGCGGACCCTTGGCATAAGTATATCCTCATAAGAAATTGCTGCATTCTTGCAAAAGAAAGTAGCTTAATTTTAATAACACAGAGTCAGCTTAAAGTCACTAGGGATTTGGATGGTATAGTTAAGTTGCCTAGCGTCTCCTGTCCTGCCTCTGATTGTCTAAATGCAGCTTGACTACTTATAGATAGAAAAGTTGGTTTATTTATTTCCTCCAGGAGTGGAGGCTTAGTGTGGTTGTCAGTTTTTAAGTTCCAGTGTCATGGAAGAAAACCTTTTTTGGCTTAAATAGGGCAACTTTAGGGGCCCCTGGTTGGCTCAGTCAGTTAAGCATCTGCCTTTGACTCAGGTCATGATCTTGGGGTCTTGGGATCAAGCCCCTATGCCCCTCCCCCCTGTTCATGCTCTCTCTCTCAAATAAATAAAGATCTTTAAAAAAAATAAAAAAAGGCAAACTTTAGTATAGTAGCCAACTCTAGTAACTAAATTAAAAAAGAAAAGCAAGGACTTTTTTCATTGAAAAATGAGGCTAGGGGCGCCTGGGTGGCTCAGCCATTAAGTGTCTGCCTTTGGCTCACATCATGATCCCGGGGCCCTGGGATCGAGCCCCGCATGGGGCTCCCTGCTCAGTGGGAAGCCTGCTTCTCCCTCTCCCACGCCCCCTGCTTGTGTTCCCTCTCTCGCTGTCTCTCTCTGTCAAATAAATAAATAAAATCTAAAAAAAAAAAAAGGAAAAAAAATGAGGCTAGCCTTTAGGCTGCACTGGTAAAAAATATGTGTGTATAAAGTTGTGTTTCAGTTTCGCTGAGCTCTTGGAATGTGTGTTACTACTGTTCTGTAGATTAAGGCCAGGATACGGAAGAGTTACTACTGTCACGTATGAAGCAGAGTTTAGTAACATATACCTTGTGTATGTGGAGGTTACATTGTTGGCAACCTCAGCTATCCAGAATGCATCTTAGCACCTGAAGTAAGGTTCTTGACCAGCTACAGTAAATATCAGAAGTCATTCACCCAAAGAGTATACATTTTACTCAAGGGGCATTTCTTAAGCTATCACAACCTGTTTGCTCATCTTAGAATTAGTTCACTGTGCATATCACACAGCAGATCAGAAGCCGCAAATTTGAGTTGGGGTTCAGGGGCTGTTGGAGGAGATGTAATAATAGTAACAAGATTTGCTAGCTAACTCCTTGGCATTAAGATGTAGATTGAAAAACTAAAATGCAGACATGAGAACTCTTTAAATCATAGCAGTTTGGGGCCTTTATTATAAGGACCTATTGTGCTGTTTATAGAATAGTCTATTAATTGATGTAATCATGCCTCTAAGTATCAATCAAAGCTGACTTTTTTTCTTTTTAAGAAGGCAGATAAGTATATATTTTAGAAATATTTTATGACTAAAAAATTTAAAAGTACCTTGACACTCAAAGAGAGGGACAGATTTTTTAGTTACATGAAAAATTCACAGCTTATTCCCAGATACTTTGAGGAATTAGCTTTCTGATATTTTTTATCCTTCAAATTTTTCTGTCTTGGTTATTGTTATCTTTGGGCAGTGATGCTTTTAGAAGTTGGGTTAAGTCAGAAGATGTCCATTTTTCTTTCTTTTTAATTTATTTGGACTTCTGCTTTCCCGAGTAAAGGTCTTTCTTATTAAGTATTCTGGTAGCACTCTCCTTCCCAGAGGAACCCAGGTAGGTAGAGTTTGTGTTGTTGTTCCACTGAGTATACCCCATGTAGAGAAGACAGTGGCAAAGTCGTAGCTGACACTAGCCTCCTTTTATGGTAAGAAACAAACCAATGGACTTGCCAAATCTGTACTTTGCTGTATACAAACAGGCCTGTTTTGTTATGGGAGCAGCTTCTTTCCAGGCCTTTTGGGACTGTAAACAATGACAACATTTTAAAGGGATGTTTGGCTTTTGGAGCATCCATCTTGTTTAAATTGCTTTTTAAAAGCCCCCATCCCCCACCCCTTCTCCAGATTTGTTAAAAAGCAGGAGCTTGTCATTTCAAACACAAAGTAGTAGTTTGATTTATTTATATACACCTGTGTGTGTATATATATATATACACACAGAGGTATATATGTATGTATATGTATTTATTAAGAAGAGTGTCTCATTAACCTTTTATGTGGATCACAGAAGCTTTTGGTCTATTCTGATTGTGTGTTGCTCATTTTTTTGGGTAGACTTAAAACTTTAGATTTTTGGGGCCAAGTCTGATTAGCCATAGTGGGTTAAAATGTAAGACTGATGGCTCTTTTTCTCTTTTTATTACCAGAAACTGGTTGCTCAAATGAAGCAGGATCCACAGGTAAAATACTACTTTTATTCATTTAATTTTTAAAATAATTTAAAATAACCATAAGATATTAAAATACAGACCAGGACTTAAGTTTTAGAAACTATCTCATCTCTAACAGCAATTATTTTTAGCATATTGGTCTTCATGTTATAAGGGTTTAGAAAAATTCAGTCATTCTATTATAGTGTAGCTATCATTTTATCTTTGTTTCTGTTATTTATTTCACTTTTATGTTCATTTCTTTGAGTATTTTGGGGAGAAATTGAGTTAATATTCTTCATATGGCTCAAATTTCATTTCCATAAGCCTATTTAGTCAGAATCAGTTTTTGAGGCTTTCTGTATTCTCCAAATTATTGTATATGGCCCAGAACAATTCTTATCTTCTCATAGCTTATATAGTACAGGTATAGTACAGAACATTTAAATACTTAATCCCACTATGATTAAATAATTTCAGAATAATTTTTAAAGAAATTTTTAAAAAATTTATCTTTGAAAGAGCCCTTAAAGAGGGTTTAAAAGTACCTTGTAGGGGCGCCTGGGTGGCTCAGTTGGTTAAGCAACTGCCTTCAGCTCAGGTCATGATCCTGGAGTCCCGGGATCGAGTCCCTCATCGGGCTCCCTGCTCAGCGGGGAGTCTGCTTCTCCCTCTGATCCTCCCCCTCTCATGCTTTCTGTCTCCCATTCTCTCTCTCAGATAAATAAATAAAAAAAAATCTTAAAAAAAATAAAAATAAATAAAAGTACCTTGTATAATAATCCAGCAGCTGTTACCTTCTCTTTAAATTCTCGTAGGCGTTTTTGACTTAGGCATTTTCTTCTCTATCCCTGAAGAGAAATCTTCCTAAAAAGTTATAATGTCTTTGATGATTACATTTATTGTTCGGGTCGTGTCTCTTTTGTAGCCATTAGACAGTGGGTCACAAGTTTGAAAAGTATCAGACTTTCAGGATTTGTTTACCCATAAATCTGTTCACAGAACACTTAGACCCATTGTATATGTGTAAATATATATATTTATACACACACATATATATATATACTTACATACATACACTGTATATATGTAGTTGTTAAACGTACCATACATGCCTCATTGTAAGGTTAAGAAAATAAATTCTTGGATTTAAAGAGTAGTACTGAAGCAGATTGATTTTTTTGGAAGTGGGAAATATATTCATTTCTCCAAAAACTTAGCACCCGGTGGCCTAACTAGTGTATGTTAACACAATCCATTGATTCTGAGGGCTGGGCATTAATGGCCCACACTTAACTCCTGTTTGACAGTCCTACTTCTTTGGGAAGCTTTTCCATTTTTATTTATTTTTTAAAGTGTATTAAAATTTAAATTAGATTTAGGAAACCAAGAGGCAGTAGACCTTAGATTAATAGACTCTTTTATATTTAATATGGTAACCTACATTGTCAGCAACTGAAATATTACTTGAAAATTTTAGCATTTCTGACAGAGCTAGTGGTCATGTAACAGAGCAGTCTTAAAAGAATCTGAGGGGCCAGTAAGTCGTTGGACAATCTTGTGACTGATCTCATTAGGGAAGCCTTATGTCAAATATACTTATAAAAAAGACAATGTAGAGTAAACATAAAGGGGAGGATGTATGCCCAAACTCTGACAGAAGACCAAGCAGGATGAAATCAAAAGAAATGCATGTGAAACAATGAAGAAAAAGTAGTCTTTTATTGGAATGATGTTCAGTCTGTTAGTAGGCTGTCCTGCTACATTAAGCATTTGAAAATTTTAATTTTGGATTTTTTCCCCACTTGAGTAAAAAGCAAGCACGCTCAGTGTATCTCATCTAAAATAGTATTCTTTTTTGATTCCCAGAATTTTAGAACTGAGAAAATACCCTGGTAGTCAGTGTGTTAATTTGAATGATGTAGTGTTAAGGCAGTTGCAGCGCTGACAGCTTTTCAAATCTAGGCTAAAATAACAAATGTACTCTACTAAATAAGGGAGAGGGCAAGTAGAGAAAACACTCTTATCTTTACTGATAATGCCATTAAGCATGCAGTGTATGCATACTTATAACTTCAGTTTTCCTGCTTTTGTCTGATTAGTGGAGCTTTAGGTTTTCTGTCAACTGATGCTTTCTATAAAGAATAACAATATTTCAATAGAAAGGAATAAATACTATAACAGTACAAGATGCTAAAATATAAAACTTCTTGTAATTTGGAACAATTGCAAAGGAACTGCCCCTGTTCCAGTGTTAGGAGCTACATTAGGTGGTGATAATATGACTACAGTTTAATGCATGACAAATTTGATTGGCTAAATGCTTAAGATTGCTTCATCATTTGTAATACAGTATGCATAAAGTCTTCTTGCTACTATTCTGTTAACAAATGAAATATCTTTCTCACAGATATTTTTTCTTTCCAATCAGAATGCTGATTTAAAGAAACAGCTTCATGAACTCCAAGCCAAAATCACAGCTTTGAGTGAGAAACAGGTAGGGGAAAAGGGTGGGGGGCATATTTTTAACATTGTGTTCTAAAGATATGTCTGCTTGAGGCTTCTAGGAGAACTGCTATTTTTCCTCATGTGTGAAAATAAGTGTGGGCAGCCAGACTCAGTTTTAATTTTGTTTGAGCTCTGTTTATCTATTTTTATTTTTGGTTGAAATCAGTGTCTAGAGTATCCCATGGGTATATGTTACTGGCAAATACCTAAAAGCAATGTGGCAGGCTGCTGTTAACTGTGTTAATTAAACTCTCTAGTTTACCCATAGGGGAAAGAGGTAAAGAAAGTTAGTGGGAGTGTGTGATAGAGAATCTTGTAGTTGCTGGATGTGTCTTGTTAACCTGTTTTAAAGGCTTGGGATGACATTTAACTTACTGTGGAGAAAATGGTTGTAAATAAATAGCTGTAAATGTAGGTCTCCCATTCTGATTATTGTCATACCTTTATGTTATTCTTTATTAGATGGAACCTTGTTGGATTTATTTATATAGAGCAAGAGAAGAGTATCTTACTTTTTTTCCAAGGACATCTGGAAAGTAGTCTTTGGAATTTCTTGTATAATGACCTCTACTTCACCAGTTCAGGCAGCTCCTGCCACCAGGTGGAGTGTGACAATTGATAGAACACTAAGTAAATGTCTATGGTAACCTGACAAAGCATGTGTTTTCTTGTTCCTTCCCCACCGCTCTCCCTCTGGTTAAAAGGAGCAGTTTTCTGTCTTGGCATAGGTGAACGTGTAAACCAAAAGCATAAGGTGATTTGCAGTTGATAGTTCCTGCTAGTGACATCTTATTGAAGATTTTTGACTAAATAGTTCTCAATAATTGATTTTCATGTGTTTTTTTTAAACTTTTATTTAGTGAAATAATAGTAATGAGAGTAATTTATCTCTGGAGATTTCTGATTGTGTTTGTATTGTGTTTTCCATTGTGTTTTAACTAAGGGGAGAAATAAATTTTGAGACCTATGTGGAATGCATGTGAGCCCTTAATTGTTCAGAATAGAATCTTTTTCCAAGCTGAGTGAACACAACTGCTTTTTTTCTCCCCGGTCCTGTTCTTATGCTTCTGCGTTCCCCCATCTTGTCTTCTCCAGAGACAGGAGATATTTTAGATTAGGGAATTGCCAAAATAAAATTGGGAGGAGGTAGCATGGCGGAGAACAATTTGTAGGGGAAAATATAAACAGAGTTCGTTAGTATGTATTTGGCTTTGAAAGTGATTCAGTTCTCTAAAGTCAAATTGATGTGTGTTAGTGAAAATGTTCTAGCTTTAGAATTCTGTTAGCGCTGAGCCTCCTTATAGTTTCAGGGTTAGTTTGACAAGACGCCAATGAATGAGTCACTTTTGCTGAAAAATTCACGTGTTCCAGCAGGGAAAGAAGGTGAGAACTGATTAGTGGAGTTAGGGGGTTGGGGATGCTGCACAAAGTTAAGACACTCTAAAGCTAGATTTGGAGAAAATGGGGCAATTGAAAAAATTTACATTTATTTGAAATTTTTGTGAGAACTGATGTAAAGATTTGGTTTATTTCTATAACTTTTTATTCTTTAATTTCTGTTTTCTACTAGGGACCTCACTTAATAGAAAATTGCAACCATTTATGTTTATGTTCGGTAAGACAGTTCATCGAGTGGTAAACTCTCTCATCTGAACTAAGTTTGGATTTTAGAAACTAGATTTTTAAAAAATGGGCCTGGCATCAGGAAAACCTTAGGTATACAAAGTAAAAAAAGTAGAGAGAATGGAGTCAGAAACTGAAATGCAACCTTGAAATTTTTAAAATATTTGCTTAACTGTTAAAACAACCTTTTTGATAGAACAGAAAATATATTTTTAGGTAGGCTAGTACTTGAAGAAAGCACAGATATAAAGTTCAAAAGCGGGGCGCCTGGGTGGCTCAGTTGGTTAAGCGACTGCCTTCGGCTCAGGTCATGATCCTGGAGTCCCGGGATCGAGTCCCGCATCGAGTCCCGCATCGGGTTCCCTGCTCAGCAGGGAGTCTGCTTCTCCCTCTGACCCTCCTGACCCTCCCCCCTCTCATGCTCTCTCTCTGTCTCTCTCTCTCAAATAAATAAATAAAATCTTTAAAAAAAATAAATAAATAAAAATAAAGTTCAAAGGCTGGGCCTTCCTCAGACTTATTTCCAACATAAAACATTGATATTCAGTTTAAAATAGTTTTATTTTACAATAAACGCCTAATGCTGAATGCCTAGCATTTTGGTTTTCCTTCTCAAAAGTTCTACTTAGCCTCTGGCAAAATACTGATTTTCCTTTTACTTTAATAACTAAAATCTGAATTATCTTACTCACAAATATTTTTATTTAACAATTTTTTTGGTTGTGGGGAAAATGCTAAATACAGCAAAGTACAAAGAATGTCATATTCCAGAATTAACAACTACTAATCCTGTATCATTATTTGTTTCTATTCTTTTTATACTATGTACACTTTTCTGTCGTCATTTTTTCTATATCCGCTTGAAAATTTATACAAGTAATAGATGCATACATTCTCTTTTTTTGCTTTATTAAAAAAACAAAACGTTGTAGATAGTCATTAATTCTTACAATGGGCACGTACTAGTTCTTATTTGTTATTACTACCTCAATATTTGATACTTAATTGGTTTCTTCCTCAAGACTAATTATGAAATGTTATGCTCCATTTGGGAAAATATGGTCTTTAGTAAGCATCTCTCATGGCTAAAACTTAGTGAATTTCATTGAATTCTTGGTTAGAAGGCTCCAGTGTTTTCAAACTGTAACTTGAGATTTTTGAATAAACTCCCCATTGCAGATTTTGAAGTCAGCTCCTTGACCCACAGGGCTTTAATTTGTGGTTGACAGTTTTAACTCAGGAAATCCCTAGACTTGATTGGTTAAACAAATTATGTGTTATGGAGCCATTAAAAATCATGGTTTCAAAAATATTTTAATCATATAGTGTGCTCATGATAAAGCAAGTGAAAAAGGACGTGCAGCTTTATATGCATTATAATCCCACTTTTGAGTGTGTCATATGTATATATGTATGTAGGCATGTAAATACATATAGAAACAGTGTCACTATGAAATGTGGGAAGGTGATGAATTTACAGGTAGTTTATTTTTTCTTTAAGGTCTTGTGTATATTTGCTTTAATCTGTATAATAAATATGTTTCCTTTTTATAACCAGAAATAGACAAGAAACATTATTTAAAAAATTTTCAACACCAAACTTTTGTCTGTTCCAGGGAGAGTTAGCATTTAAATATCCAGTGACATTCTCCTCTTGGTATATGAACCACTGTAATCAGAGAATCCATCTATTTTAATACTGAAATGTGGAAGCAACTATTAATTTCTTTAACAGGGTTCATTCTTTTTCTGCACCCCTCCCTCCTCATTTTGGCATGATGTGTGGTCTTTTGCTTGTCAGGATAGAGGTTAGATAATTTTTTAAAATAGTCATCTTTTTATGCTTTTTAAACTGAAAGTATTATGAACATCTTACATTTTTTAGTGTTTTTTAAAAATACAATTTTTATAGGTTCAAATATTTAGTGGTCTGGCTAGATTATAATTGGTTAGTCCTCTAATATTTGATGATAGGATGTTTCCAGTTTTTTGCTATTATAAATATTGCTATGATAGAAATACGTATGTGAATTTGTTTCTCTCTGATTGCCTTAGGATACATTCTTAGGTGTGAGATTACTGGGTGTATTGGTCAGCTGTTGCTGTAATAGTTCTGCAAAACAAACCGGTGTTTTATTGAGTGACTTAACGACGTTTATTTTCACACTGGGTCTGTACATCACCTGGGGTTTTCCTGATCTAGGCTGGACACATCTGCTTTCCTGATCTAGGCCCAGACACATCTACTTCAGTTTGTGGGTTGGCTAGCCCTGCCTCCAGGCTACAAGTTGGGTTAGATCTGCTCTGTACCTGTTCACTCTGAGGCCTACCATGAAGAGGCAGCAGCTACCTGGGGCATACCCACTTCACCAGAATACCAGAAGCAGACCAAACTACCAAAATACATTTTAAGCCTCTGCTGGCATCAAGTCTTTTAATATCTCATTAGCCAAAACAAATCATGTGGCTAAGCCCTGCAAAGTTACATGACAAAGGGTGTGGATGTATAATTTTATAATAGAATATAAAGAATTGAGAACAATAATCCATCTACCTTACTTGGTTAAAGTTAGTATAAAAGAACTTAAGTATATATATTTTTTAAAAAACGAATTTTTATGACTTATTTCCAAATAGCCTCCAGAAAATGCTGTTATCAACTTAACAGCATATATGACAGTACCTAGTTTTCCCCAGGAGATACCCTGTGGGGGAAAAAAAACATTTTGCTAATGTGGAAGATGGGTTAATAGGTATTTGATGCTTATCTGGAAGTATATTTTTCAAGCTGTTTGTCCATGGTACAGATATTCCATTGTATTCCTTAGAAACATTTCAGTTTTAGGTTTTATTTTTCTTTTATCCTTTCTCCTATTTTTCTTATTTCTTTTTTAGAGAGGTAGACATCTCCACAGTCTTTGGTCTTTGCTGCTGGTTTGCTTTTCCAGCTCTATGTTTAAAATTATAGTCTCTATTCCTTACAGATTGCTTAACCTAATACAAGATGAAATACTTTTCTGGGTTTAATAAATAGTTGCCATTTATGAAACCATTCTCATTTTAAATTTGAACATATTTTACTAAAATAGATTTGAAGCCTTTGGGAGAGAAGTTTCTGTTCCTGTCATAACTAATTATGTTTCTGATGCATAGAACAACATTATTTAAGCCAAGTAGGTGACTTGAACAATGGACTGTGGGTGGGGGAGGGGAAACTGGAGTTTGATTCTATTCCTGATTCTGTAACAGACTTTTTCATAGATTTTGAGTTAATAATTTAATATGTCTATTTCCTTATTTATGGAATGTTTGAATAATGCCTTTTAGGAGTTTATGAACATGTATCTGTTGAATGCACTGAATGTT